GCAAATGACAACTCCATCATTGCCCACTGGAGAGCAGACCTGCATGATTTAAAGCCCATCATGCAGGTAATGTTCCCATAAAGGGAATATCAGGCCCTGGAGGCTGACGGATATTCTGATTTCTGTTCCAAATGATCTCCAAATTACCTAACACGGCACGTACTTAATTAACCATAGTTAAACTATTTCAGACTTAGAAACTGATGATTCAAATGCTACTGTACTTGTGAAATACTGTAAGCTGGATTTGGGGCTGTCCAGGACCAGGGTTGTATAACCCTGCTTTACTGCTTTACTGCTTTACTGGCTGAGCCACGCAGGGCGCGCTTTTATCTGCAGGTTGACACCTCTTTAGCTAAACCAGTCTCAAATTGTGTTAAATTGACTCTGACTAACAGGAAAAACATGCCATTTACTGAATGAAAATTCATGCAATTACCTAAATTCTGCATTTGTGGAGTTTTAAAACATATTCACTGGCAAATCAAGCATGGCCTTTAACAAAACTGTCTTTTTGTTAAACACTGTCTTTTTTCCGTGTGCAAAAAGGCACATTCATTCTTTAATGTCAATTCTTTATGGCTGCCTCGAGAATGACACCAGACTCAATCAATAAGAAGCCAGCTTCTGCAAAGTCAGTCTTTTTCTGAAGCATTTTATTTCCTTACTGACACACACAGGGTGGTCATTTTTTGTGGCATTTAAGAAGTGTCCTGTGATTACTCCAGGGCTGTTTCGAAGTAAACAGTGAAAAACAGTACTTCATCTCACTGCTTATGATAAAAGAGAACTATGATTCATTGTTGTACTGTTATTGTTTTTTCACGGGATGCACTTTTATGAGGTTTAATTCATTTTCCTTGCAAAATCGGTTTGTTGAGTGCATTATCTACAAGGAGCTGAGAACAAGTTGCTAATGAGGCTATAGTGAAAAAAGGTACTGTGTCTACAGCCCTGAGCTTCTCACTCAGACATGACAGGTCTATTAGTAGTTGCATCCTTCCTCCTTCTTTTAAATCATATGAGACACAGCAAGTTTTTTTTTTTAAAAGATTGTTATTGTACTTATTAGGATTCTGTTAGAAATCTACCACTAACACTGAAAATCTGTATCACAGTACTTTTTAGATCGTCTTATAACTTGCTTGATTGGTTATTTCCTTGAAATAGAATCCAGTTAAGTCCAGTGTTACATACGAGGTTGTACATATGCATCTTTAACATTTAATTAAAACATACAGTACTTATATTATACAGAACTAATTTAATAGAGAAGACTTACACCTTTCTGACTGTGCTGAAGTCAGTGGGAAATAGATTGTGGTGTGTAATTGTGTGAATTACAGAACAGTTTTATGGATCAGGCAATTGTCTAACTCAGGCTCCTGTGTGGTGGAAGTGCCTCACATTTAACCCAGGAGCATTGTTAATAGTCCTTGATGGCAGCAGGCTTGGGGTTTTCATCTGGCGATATGTTTCACTGATTAAGGGAAACAATGAGAAAGCTATTCATATATCTATTAACTAAAGAACTGTCAACATTTCAATGTTAACAACGTGGTATTAGGCTTTCATTGTGTACAAGGACAATACTAAATGTATTTTCTGACATTCAGAATATCTTTTATTTTTGTTCTGTTTTGGACCTTGTTGCACTGAGTCTGAGGGAAATGAATATAAGCAACTTCAGATTTTTTGGAGAGTTTTTGTTTTGATACCATACCTTGGGTCCCACGTGTCCTTGAAACCTTGAGTGGGTCTGCAGTCACGAGGACACATGCCAGCTGATGGAGGACAGAGCAGGCAGGCCTTTAGGCCTCTAGCTTTAACAATAAAGAAAAACTTTTAAAAACTCACTCAGCCAAAATATGCCAGTTACGGAGCTTGGGAGGGGACATCAGTAAGAAAAAAAGTTATATCATTTGTTAGTAAAAGTTTAGTAAATCATTCCCTCGTTTTCTTTAATTCATGCATTCAAAATAACATTTTCTAACTCTGTCCTTCAGATACCACATAAATGCCTAATTACATACATGTGAGAATGTGCAATTCCACTCCTACTCCCCAATAATGAAATAATTGTCACCCAGTGTAGCTATTTACAACAATTAGAGGGCATGTAGGTCAGCTGTATCTGCAGCCCAGTCTTAAAATGCCATAGTAAGTGAGAAAAACCTTGTATTTTTTACATATGGGGTACTGATTTTTGATACCTCTTCTGGGTAAAACTTAAATGTCCAAGGCAGTTGGAATATTGGGTCATAGCTATGCTTACGATCTTAAAGGAAGGCTCAGCCCTTGTGTTTTCCAACACCACATTATACTAAAACTGGCAACTCTAGAACACAAGACTGGTGAATGAGGGAACAAAGTGTATATAGCTACAGTAAGTGTAATCTAAATAAATTACTGTGTAAATTAAATTGTATGTATGCAGCCGAAAACCTAATGCACTAGTAGAGGATTTTGGCTATGAATTGGACAAAAACTGGATGTAAAACAATATTTTCTGCTAAAACTAAAAGATCATCCTCAGACTTTGCATATCAAAAACTAATGTTGTGGAGCAGTGGAAACCCAGATTAAACTGATAAGACTACAGAAAGCATCTTTCTGAAATCTTATCCTACATCTTTTCCCACATTGGTGGATAAAGTGTCCACAAACTAAGAAAAAGGCCTTTATCTATTGAAATGCCTACAGTACAAGCCTGGTTTCTGTTGAATGAAAGCCCAGTGCTATTTTCCATATTTCCTCTGAAGTTGAATTTAATTTCTTTAATACTCTTACCAGAGCATCATGCAGTGAAAACCACCAGCAAATAGTGAAGGCTTCAAATAAGAAAAATAGATTGTCATGTTAACCTTTTGTGTGGTTGCTGGCAGTCATTTAATGTTCCACAAATTCCATCCAAACACTATTAAAAAAAATAACATTTGTATAAAAGCTCACAATTTACAAAACATTTAGCACAACATAAGTTCAAATGTATGTATATCCTCTGAAGATCAGGAAAGCCTCTTATTTGTATAATCTCTATCTAATCATATCCCACTAAGTAACCCAATAAAATATTTTCTGTTCTGCACACAAGCTTGTAATATCATAGATAATTAGAATCACGTAGTCACACACCTGTAGTTGCAGTATTTAAGATGATAATCCCCACCACTTTGTGTTATAGCTCAATTCTGTACTTGTTTTACTGGCCTCTAGTGGAAACATTTGCTGACTGCTCAGAAGTTTAATTTAATTTCCATATCATATTCCCAGCTCCAGCACAGCAGTCTGGGAAAAGTAAGAGGCAGTAGATAAGGCAGAGCTTATAAATACAGAAACAGGTTCAAAAGAACAAAATAAAGATTAACAGTACTTTGAGGACACCACAAGTATATTCTGTTTCCATGTGACACTATAGATTATCACCAACTGCCCTGCTCAGATAAGAAACTGAGATAATTAATGATATAAAATGAATTGACCAAACCGATGATCTGTGCATCTTTGGGGGTATAAATGTATTTGTACATGACTTTGAATAATGTTGATTTGTTGTTTTTTTTTTGACAATCTGAATACATTTATGTGTAAATGGAGATAGCTGCACATTGAAAGACCTAAATTTGAAAGTGCTGAACATTTTAATACAGCCGACAGTCTAAGCAGTTAAATGGATCAGTGATGTATACAGAATGCTTCAGTGGAATAAATATGTAAAATCTTTGAGGGGGTAGCTAAATTTTAGTTAAATAGATCTAGTAGCTGGACGCACATTTGTGAACAGTATGTTCCTCGACACTTGGTTGTACTGTCCTTGAGACAATAGTCATACAATTTGTGAGAGTTAAGCAGACCCCAGTGCTTTTCCTCTTTTCCATTAAAAGATCAGCTAACATACACCAGAGCAGGATTCCCCAAGGCCACATTTACCACTCAGAATATGGAAGAGAAATAAATCTCTTAATTAATTACAAAATTGAACTGTTCATTCTAGCTGCATCCAGATAATTGCCCAGATTGTTAGGAGGCTGATGATTTATCACCTTTTAATTAAACCTTGCTATTAGCACAGTCCCAAAGGACGTAAAGGCAATATCTCTTTTCTTCAAGGTTATTAAGGAGCTATGGATATTTAAGCACCAGGTTCGGCTCATCATGGGGACAACAGCAAGAGCTCTTCTTAATCACCTGCGATGAGTGGAATTCATCAGTAGGATGAACTTAATTAATGAACTGGTGATGATGGGGTTTTTCTTTATAAGGTCTTCACTTCACCATTGTTGTTTTGTGTGGTTTGCAAGATTCCAGCAGTAGAAGATCTGAAAAGAGGAATAGGATTGTGCCAGTAGTAGCAGGTGATTTTCAGTGGAATGCGTGGAAGGGAATTGTACAATTATGATAATGAATCTTCACTATGGAAATTACATTACCATCTGCACAATTTTACTGTGCTGCTCTTGAAAACACAGCCTCATATTGTGGTAACATACTGTGATTTCACCATGTTAACTACACATTTTACACAGTTACTACTGAATATTACAAGCAAGGTTTATAAAGGGTAACTTTTTATTTTTTCTAAAATAAGAAAAATAATGTATGTATGATATCAAAACACAAAAATGATTAACTGAATATACAAAATGAAAGAAGTAAGGTTGAAAGAAGAAAAATGAGAGAAAAACAAAACTAGAACAGTAGATGATACTGTATGTACAGGAGTCATAGCAGTATCATACTGTATGTTGGAATGACAACAAAATGACTGTATATTTAAGACCAGTCCAAGGAAATGGCATAATCATGTCACAAATGAAGACTTCTATTTGTTTGCAAACATTTTGTTAGACTGTAGTAATATTTCAAAGTTTTTTTTAATTATCAACTCTGAGGTAATGAACTGCTAAAAAAGATGAAAGAATCAAGTGAAAAGTCATAGTCTCATTTCAAAAACAGGGCACACACACCAAGAAAGAATGAAAAATCAGTCAAAACACAAATTCAAAGATAGAACATTTAATTCCAGGTTCTGGAACGTTTACCACAATATTTTGTACATTTAAAAATAAAATCCTTCATTTATTGGTATTCATATTGTACCTTCGACATCACAATTTTCTCAGAATTTAAAAAAAGTCATTAAGCAACATGTTTTTCACAATAATATCAAATTGCAATAGGTGCCTTAAAGACAGAATGTCATTTGGAAAAGTCCAAGCTTGCAGATACGTATCTTATCAAAACAATTTAAATAGTGCCATCAAACCAAAACTCAACAGCAGATTTGTAATAACAAAATTCACAGGCTGACTTAGTTTTTCCAAAGTATGGTCTTCTTTCTTTAATAAGTAGATTTGCAGTCCCTTCTTAAATTAAAAATATATAATCTTCTTTTATTAAAGCTAATACTAAACATTATTATTTAAAAAAGAGGTACTGTACTTCCTGCAACTGAGTACGAACATGACTACAGAAACATACTGAGGCAATGTATGTACAGTAATTTCAACTAAAAGTCCCTTTTTTGCATAATCTTTGGACATTTTAAAATGTACAAGGGAAGATGTTTATTTACAATTGCATAAAATCAATAATTTTTAACACATTTCTAGTTTTAACATTTATTGAAATGATCCAACCCAGTGTTATTACACCTAGAGAGGTCAATTAAATTTCTCATTCATTAAATGAACCACAATTTCTGTAAAATTTGACAGACTTACATCAGCTACAATGTAGAAATGGATATTTGGCCTCTGATAATCTAAATTTATGAAAAGAACTTGACAAAATGGTGCATTTTCTTTGCCTTCATTTACACACTCAATATTTCAGCTTACAGATATTCTTCAGCATCGTAATTAATAATGCTCATTTGTAATAGATCTTAAATATATTAATTAAAAATGCAACCAGTGCATCATCATAATTAGAAAAGTCGATCATTGTGGCAGTTTCATAATAAGGACTTTAAAATTTAAACAACTCTGATAGTCAAATAATATACAGTGTATTGCTTTTCATCTTCACCTCAAAACATTGAACTCTAACCAGTGCCATAAATACCAACTGCAGTATACATACACAAATATTTTTGCAATATATTGTCAACCTTTGGAATATGAGCATTTATTCAGTTCATCTCAGCAGTGGAATTCCAAAGGTGGTTCTCTTCTTGCGTGTAATGGAATGAGTTACCTACAGCATTGTTTTGATACACAGTACTCATTTGTGCAAAATTGGTCATGGATTCATACTAACTTCAGTATTCAGTGTACCACATCTGCACAGAGAACATCACATGGAGGATATCACTTCATGAGAGATCACTGCTAAGAGGGTTTAAAAAGGAAAGGAATGCTGTTTCAACAGCAGCACAGTGTACTATACATTGGATGTTCCCAGCAAACAGAGACAAATGTACTTAGACCAGTAGGATACTGCAATAAATCATATATTAAGGTGCAGTAATAAGAAATGGTCAAGATCCTGCTTTATCTGACATTTTAAAATGCTTCAATTCATGGTAAAAGAATCTCAGGATAAACTACAGTTACATGTTTAAATAATGATATAACATCTCTATGAATGAAACGTACACAAAATATTTAACAGACTCTTCTTTCTTTTAAATACACACACAAACACTTCAAAAATACAAATTAAAAACAGAGCTGACCTGAGCATAATATCTTTCATAAACTACGCAAGAGTATGAAAGCATAATTCTCTAACCTGAAATATTTACAGTCAGACACCATGTATTGCACTGATAATTATAACCTTACTTTAGAAATATTAACCTACTGTATATTAGGACATAAAATGAAACTCTCTTTATAAGACCAAAGAGGACATTTGTACAACTCAGACTAAACATTTTACTCAAGTCTTCAACATTGCTTAATTGTGGAGTCTTGACTTCGGAGAGCCTTTCATGTTGTTCTATATTTCATAAAACTGTTGACAATTCTCGATTTTCTCGGGGACTAAAAATATTTTTCAGCTTTTGACTGTATGGTTATTGCTCATAATCCCCTGAAAACTAACAAAGAGTAAAGGAGGAAATGCATTTGTCAGCTTGGCACGTTATTCAAGGCTTGTCTTAAGGCAATACAGAGTCTTTCAGCTGTGTTATACTCTTAGGAGGTTTCAATACAGCATTAAGGCACTTACAATTACAGCATCTGTTACACGAAACATTGTTCCTCTCCCTTGTCTAAAAGGTCTTTTCTGATGTGTATATGAACAGTCAGCAGGATTTTTGTTACATACTCATTTTGTAAATATACTTTTCTACAGCAAACATTATTTTATTATTTATGGTTTTGTACTGTATATGTTCCCTTACAGTGCCTTTTTTAAGTATCTTCTCTGTACAAATCACTAAATACATTTTATTGTCTCCGTGGAAACCACTACATTAATTTTAAAGCTGATTAATTTGCCCTTAAATCTTTAATATTGCAGTATGTCCACATACATACATGATAGGCCTGTAAAACTATTATTCCTAGTGCTTCTGTACACTGACGAGCCAAATTGCTAAAATGTGTTTACACTAAATACAATCATTAAAGTCTGGAAGAAGTGTTTCCCTTTTTTTAAAAAAGGTAGTTTTTAATAACATAATTGCAGTGCAATCTTTACAGTATTGTTCTGTCTCTGCTTAGTAACCATTCTTTCCTTTAGATTTTACAGGATCAAAGTTCTCATATATGCTCAGAGCTGCTGTGTTTTGGTAGATTAAGTCCACGTTAGTTCCAGTTCTTGATCTGATAATGTCCATGGCACATTGGTTTAAAAACACGTATTGGTCCTGTAAAGACAAATCAAAGACAAAACCCATGAATGCAGGGCTCTCTTAAACCCCAAGAACACCTCATCCTAAGAAGAAGAGCTTCTAACTGAACACCAGTGATGTGCTGCAGGATCCATTTTAGGTCATTTTAGGTTCTTTGCTCCTCCTAAAATATATCAATGATTTTGATTCTGACATAGAAAACGGGTTAAATTTCCCAATGGCATAAAAATAGGAAGAGTGGCAAAGAGATTCAGTGGCACAAGAATTTCAAAAATATGTTCAGGGATTGTATTAATTTATTTATGGGCCTGGATATTACCAGACGATCGTATGAGAGCAGGCAGTAGAAGTGTGAACTTCTCCGTACCTCTGTCTGGACCATTAGCGGGCGGTGCATCCGAAGACTATGGACGATGCCGTAGACATCCACAATGCCCTCCCGCTCAATCTGGTAGATGATGGTGTCAATCGCAATGAACGTTCCTGTTCGCCCAACTCCAGCACTGATTTCCAAAAAGGAAAATAAACCAAACACACTTCACGTAGGAAAATTGCAAAATATAAGTCTCAACAATATTCATTTGCTGATGAAACCGAGACAGTAAACATGTAGAATCTGTCTAGTATTATAAACAGTACAGTAACACTCCTGTACTGTGTGTGGTTACCAAGGTTCGCAGTACAGAAGGCCAGTCTGTTCTACACATTGTGCCACACAATGACTGCTCACCTGCAGTGCACTATAGTGGGAGAGTTTCTGGAGAACTGGTCCATGTGTTCTCTCACGAGGTGTCTGAAACTGATCAGTAGCTCTGTGGTCTCTGGCACGCCATGGTCTGGCCAGGCAGTGAAATGGAAATGGCGCAAGTTGCGAGTTTCAGCTGTCTTAGTCTGAGACGGACAGAAAAAACACATTTATTTCCATTACAAGGTGTAAAAAAACAGAGCAAATTAATTACTCTGTATCAAACATAACATTGTCTGAAGCACCATTTCTGTGAAATTAGGGAAATGCAGATAAGGTGTAGAAAGAAGCTGTGATAAATATGAACACACCTAAATATCTCTCCATCACAACCACAACTGTTGAATAAAGTCCACATGAAATCAGCAGGGATCTGCTTAACTATGTAAATGTTTTTCTTACTTTAACACATTTACAGTATCAATTATAATGTTTTTGTTAGAACAACATAGTTTAGCTCTTAGGAAGTATATGCTCATTAAAAAAAAAAACATCATGTTGTAGAAAATGGAACAATGTCTCGAAAAAAGATCTTACATTCTAGCTACTAAGAGTTCGAATAACCTAATCTCCAGAGAGCATTTTAAAATCAGTCCATACTCACATTTTTTATTTTAAAGTCTCTAATTGTCCAGTCTTCTAGGGGGATTTCCGAAGTCAACGTCACTGTTATGTTGCTACAGACCTTTGTCTGAGAGGGCCAGTATTCTTCACATTTCACCTAAACAGCAAGAGATTAGTTGAATATGAATTGCTGAGCTAGTATTGGAGTGTTACTGTGAGGTAAAGGTCAAATTCACAAATTCACTGTAGAGAGATCGTTCTTTTAGCAGGTTCCCTTACAGGTTTTTTAGAGAACAGGAGGTAATTATTCTCCACAGAGGGGGAAGGATTGTGGGAGTCTTGAACAAGCTACCCTGTCATGTTGACACCATATTTTATCTCAGTAAATAGCTGGAGGAGATCATAGGACCAGTTAGCTACTACAGACCATACAAGTGGTGGCCTAACAACTTCCTTCTGTTTGAGAGCTTTAGGTTCTTTTGTCTCTACTGATAAGTGAAACATGCCTGGTAGGAATAAGCTCTGTTCAGATGTAGCAACAAGTTTCCACGTTGACTCACCCGTCCCTGCTCGTTGCACCTGGTCAGCATCACCAGCGTGTGGACGTTCTTCTCCCAGATCATTCTCCAGAAGTCATTCACAGTCCCCGGCAAGGGCCCTTGGGCGGCGATGAATTCCTTCTTCGAGTTATAGCCCTGGGAACCCAGAAATGTCATTACTCTTTATAGTCCCTTGTGATTATTATTTTATTTCCCCTTCAGCCACAGTGGGACTGGTCAATTAAATAATTGCATGAACACGGTATTAATGATCCCTCTGCCTATTACAATAGCAGATTTCTCCCACTGCACAGCATTAAAATCTATTTTGTGCTGTTCTTTTTTTTTAAAAAGTAAGGTGGCAACAGTTTTTCCCTAAAATAAATCCACTTGAACCAGAGCCATCCTTATTTTTTAAGAGACAATCCACAGTCATTAAAGAAATATCTTTAAGGAAATTAAATAATCTTGGATTAAATGCTTCTATGTTTCTAACTTGAAATCTTTCTCAAAACAGAACACTTGACAGGATGTCATCTTTAGGACAGAAGACCAAGGGACTGTGGGATGGGCTACAGAGAGCACAGAGTTGGCTCATGCAACATAAATATATAGCAAGATCTGCCCACTCTATGCCGGACTGTGAGGCTATAATCCTCTATATTACCAGATGCAGGTATGAGATCTGGCAGAAACTCTTGGGGTACCTTCTAATTTGTGGTAGTCATATTGTTTAGTTTAATTAAATTGTACTTTTTGCTCCTCATTTTTAATGCATTAAGCCTGCCCTCCCTAAATAGCACTTCTGCTTTTTGTTCATTAAGTACATTGGCAGAATGATTACTCTTAGCACTGCTTATTAATCAGTAGAAGTAAATTGGTTAGCAGGCACTATGGGGAAGTGTAATGCATGAGTAAGCCCGCTCTGCAATGCTCTGTGAGATATCTCTAGAAAACAGTGCAAGTCAGCTGCTGTTTCTAACTGAGTCATCTACAGTAGCTGAGTCTTCTATGGCAACTAGCAAACATCAAACATTTGAGAGCTTCATCTGAAAACTAATGACAAGGAGACACTTACAGGCATGTAGTTGGCATTGATATAGTCATCACAAGGATTTCCTTGAACAGAAAGCTTGACCCTGCTGGCGTCATCTGGGTGAAAAACAAATCGGAATCTCATAAGAGAATAAATACGTTTATTGAACATGGATGTATTCAGAAGAAAGATGCAGTACAGCTCTCTTTATGACATAGGAGAGTATGAAAAATGTTAGTGACTTACATGGCAGCACATTGTTGTAGCGGTTCTTTGGTTTGTTATCTGGTTCTAGGGCATGATTCTTGAGCTGGATTGTGCCCACGGGTCTAAGATCCTAAAGCACAAAGCATGATGTCAATGCAAATCTACTTCTTGTGCGCTTTCAAACAGACGCCCATCAACACCACATACAGTATGGGATCACAGATTACCTTCTGCATGTGGAGAGCAGTGTAAGAATGCAGTATCTACAGTAAAGAGGTTTGGACAGTATGTGTAACAAACTGGTTTATAGTACATTTGGCTGACCAGGGCTTTTTACTCTGTACTCTGCTAAATGCAACCTCACCTTTCTGAGGAAAAAACAAATTGAGTTTCAAAAAATGTAAAAGACAGGAGTCAGAAAACTAGATAAGGACAGTCAAAGGACAAAGCCAGTATGAGTATATGAGTATATGAGTATAATATGAGTATTTGTCAAGACCTGCCTTTAGAAGTGAGCCAATAAAAACTGAATTCTCATTATTCTTTTGATATAGCCTTTTCCTATCATCTTCTATTCAATTTTTAATTTTACCTCAAATTCTTCCGCAAAACCGCAGTTTGAATCAGCCCTTTGCTTCTTGTAGTACGTTTCATAGGCCTCAACTCTTACAGGAATGCCCCTAGACAAGGGAAAACATGGTATTTCAGTGCAGTTTCTAAATAATGAGAGTTTACCATTATTTCCAAAAACAACTGAAGCATTCGCATAGAAATAAAAAAGAACTTATGAAGGATTTAGAACAAGAACAGTTTGTACCTGCTTGGTACAATAGCTTAGAGATCCAAGAACTACTGTACATTATTGACATACTGTATTTTCATCTTAATATGTTTTGCAGCTTGTAAATTGTAAATATATCAGGAACATGCAATAGGCATTTTAATGAAAGTGTGAAACCAATGAATGCAGTACAATCCCTTCTGCACTAGTAAGATGACATGAAATAAGATCAAGGTTATTTTACATGAGTAGTTTGTGAGCACAGAAATTAAAAATGATTAGAATAGTGTATCATAGCAGCAAATTAACACACAGGCTCATTAAAATAGTGATGACAGAGTTTCTAGCTCATGAAAAGTGTCAAAAATGCTGTTATTTACAATGTATAAACCGATTTTATCATACAGTACTTACCACATTGCTACACTGAAAAAGAACACTGAATTAAAGTTTACCCTATTGATATAAGCCCATGAAAAATCAGATTACACTAGAGCACAACTGTCAGACAGAAATGAAAATAAGTGTGCATGGAGATGTATACTTACACTTTGGCTCTGTAAAAAACAGAAAGAAAAACAATTTTAATCTTAAAATGTAAATATCTCTTTGAAGCATGACAAGTTTTAAATTGCACTAAAATACAGAAATGTTTGTTCCAATGTTTGTTCCAAAGGCTATACATTAGGAGAGATCCTATAAAATGCAATTTTATCAAACTTTTTTTTTAATTATGCAAGTTTGACTTTAAAAAAACTGCTGGTAGGTTCTGGGACCAAAGCAAGAATCATATGGAAAGCTTCTTGTTTGTTTCACACATGGTCACAAAAGTTCTAAAAACTCACCTCAGAGATGTGAAAGGGACATCTTGAGATTTCTTGTTGGCCCGTCTGCAAAAATATACATAGAAATACATTCAGTTCAAGAATGTACTGTATGAAAATCTATTGTTTATATATGTCGATACTTTGATATCCTACTACTACTTGCTCTGTGATTAATTTACTTTTTCTCCATTGTTATTCTGTTTAGAGAAACCATTATCACTTTGATTTTATATTCAGCAGCGTCCTGTAAATAATATTTCCATGTCGTAGGACACAAAATCAGATAAGCAAATCATGAAGTGGAATGTATTATAAACTCCTACCTAGTATTTAACATTGCAACGAATCACATCTAATCATCATGCCTGCAATGTGAGTGAGAGTCTCTCACGTGGTAGACCAGGTATAACAACAGCACAGGCCACTTTAACCCTACAATCCTCTATTCTTTGTAGAAGGGAAAAGGCCAAAGATCATCAGTTTGTAGTGACAGGCATCTGACTGTAATGACCAATAAAACTAGACATAGTCATATACTGTAGATCTCTGTAGAAGGCCTGGTATATTGTAAAATAGAAAAAAGGGTAGTTAAATATTATTTTATAATAATTTACATGTATTGATATCTGATTTTAATCTATAGATTCTGAACTATTCTAATTGTGTATTTTTTTGTTATATTCGGTTTTAGTTTCATTTTCTTTTGTAAACTTTTACCTCTTTGAGGTAAAATATTTCCTGACAAAGGCTTCCCATCAATTTCCACTGATTTAATCAATGGGCCTGCAGGTTAAGACAGCTGCTGTCACACTCACCTTCTCCAGTAGATCACTAGGATGATGGTGATCAGCAACAGGATCAGGAAAACAGACAGGGTTCCTCCCACAGCCCCTCCAATGACAGCTGCAAGGAAGACAAGAAGAACACAGGATATGAGGAAATTGGAGCGCCTGCAGGAAACTCATAAAAAAGGGGAGGGAACATGCAACCTCCACACATAATAATGAATAATGAAGCTGCAATCAAACTTGAGGCTGCAAGGCAGCACCATGCTAGCCTGCCTTCACTCTTTTAGGAACAAGTAATAGGTTTATTCCATGCTGAAAAAAGAAGAAAGAATGAAGTGTTTTCTTTCTTCTTCTTTTTTCAGCATGGAATAAACCTATTACTTGTTCCTTTGCAGCCTACGCATGCTGACGCAGCTCCTGAACCTGAACTACTTCACTCTTTTTATAGTATTTTTTGTTAAAATGTTTTATTTCATGCCAGTGAGAGTGATAACAAGTCAGACCAAAAACAAAGGGGAAACTCATCTTGCGGACAACTTGCATGAACAATTTTTCTAAAAGAAGGAAAATTACAACATTTAAAGTATCTTGTCCTACAAAAATTTAGGGAGTCATTCTTGACTTTAGTGTTTGTCAGTGAAAGCATTGTGGTACAGTACAGTATATCACAAACACTTTGGTGAGCCTTGTATGAAAAAGAGAACTGTGGTTCAAAAGTTTTAAAAGCTGCTATTCTAAAGATTTGTCCTAAATGAAATACAACAAGATAGTGATCAGTTCCATGTGCAAAACAATAAGAGGATAATTTGCAAGGATCCATGTAAATCTTTTAAACACTTTATGACTGTATAGGGATGTAAAGTGAAGGTGTAAGGAAGCAAAGGTTTAAAAGTTTTCTTCACGGGCAGATGTGAAAACAAAACTGAGGGAAAAGTGGAGCAAGACTGGCAGATTTCAAGTGGATAGAGATTTTGCAAAATGCTAAAATGTATTCATCACGTTCATTGAGGTTATATACAGTATATATGAACTTCTCTGGGCATAGGATTTTGACATGTTCCCCAAACCAAAAGGAATGAGTGGGAACCAGTCAAGACCACTGATCGAAGCTCTTGCATTTGAATGAGATTCAGTAATGCTTGGTTAAAGCTTTTGATCCAACCGACTCAGTTTTGGGATAGAATTACAGCGCAGTACACCGCCACCTCCAGGCCAAGACAAAAAAAAATTCAGATAGGACGTAAAAACCACTCGTACTAAACTTTCATCCAGATCACTAGCAGGGCTTACACATTTTCAAAGGGTGCCTATTAAATGCAAACATGCTATTTGTGCGTATGTACAGTATTGCTGTACATCCTAATTACACCTTGGTCAATATCATGATCACAGTCCTTAATAAAAAAGCATCAGTGGAATTCTAATGAGCATGACAAAATACAGCAGGAACTGTAGAAATTCCACTGAAGTCCATACCTGGATTCTCTGGCAGGACGATTATATATGAATATGGTGATATTGACAGCAATGATGTTTGTTGATTAATTAAATTATCTGTTATTTGCAGTTTAGTAAATGCAACAATGGCAACCCTACAGAAGACAAAAATACAACAAAAGAAAACTCCATTATTAGTCATTCAGTAATTTGCAAGAGATGGTCATTTCTACAAGATTTTGATTTATATTAGAAAAGATGGGAAAAGACAAATAATTATCTGGTATTATACTTGTTACAACATGTTATAACTAATTTAAATAAGATTCTCAGGCCTCTCACACTTTGCAGGCAAATCGCCAGATTGTATTGAATTGAAAGCAAGTCTTTGTCAGATCTATTTACTTGCTAATACATTTTCTTCTTCCGGAGTGAACCAGTTTATTCTGCATTGCTGCTCTAGTAAGTTTGATTCTGAGTGGCAGCCATTTCTTAATTTGAAACTTCTGTCAACTATCTGAGACACTTTTGTTTTTACCCTCTAACATTTTTCTATCTTCTGTTTTCCATTTTTGCCTGTCAGCTTTAGTTGTCATTCATTAGGATCAGTACTTCTGCCTCCACCTACTGTATCTGATCATCTCTGCAGCATTGTTAGCCAGACCAAGAGGTGCTGACGTAAGGGCAGTGTTCTGAAGTGTGAATCACAGACATTTAACAGTACTGCAAAAAGGAGAATTTACAATTGCCATTTTTTTCACATTTTTAATAAGCCTTTGATTGGTGCTCAAGCATAACTAAAGTCAGTATGTTGTAGGAGAAACATTATGAAGTGTGGGATCTGAACCCATGCATTTCTTTGACAATATTTACCTGTATTGCCCAATGCGGCTCAGTGGTCCATTTGTGTATCCATACTGTTTTGACCCATCTCCTATTATAACACTGTAGGAACCAGCTGCTCGGCTTAGATGCGTTGCTCCAATTACTGTTGCCAGGTAAGTCTTTATAGATCCACTGTAGGTACTGGATAAATCCGTTTTATTGGGTTTACCTATAATGAAACAATTTGGATGCTTCAGTAAGTTTGCGCAAACTGTGCAGAGAGTATGTTTCCGAGTCAAAGTACTAACTTGATTCCAATTGAAAGTTTAAGGTGAGGCTTTAAAGTCCATCAACTCCAACGAACTAGTCAGAACTGGAGCAGATTTGCTACGAAGAAAGCACGAGAATACAACATTTCCCTTTATGAGACTGGCAGAGACCAGTCAATCCATTCTTTGCTACCAAAGGTGTTTCTACAAAGTACTGGTCAAGGGGGATGAATACTGTACTTATGCAATCAGTAATTTTACTTTGTATTGTCTTTTCTTTGTAGGTTTTGCTGATATTCAACCTCTTTCACATATGCAGTAACTACAGTATGTTTAGTTTGATCATTGCAGTTTTTTTTTATATCATAAATATATTACTTCACATTTTTCCAAATTAATCACCAATATCAATATTGGCAGGGAGTGAATACTTTTGCAAGGTACTGCATTCCAAAATCTTCTGATAAGATGGTCAAGAGAGAGAAAGTGATACAGCAATGTAGTTCAAACAATAAATGCTTTAAAGCTTTTTCTGTACTTTTGACTTTCTGTAAATTTTTACACTTACTGACTATGCCATTATTTTCCTGTATGTCAAGGACCACTGAAACCCCTTGGCACTGTGAAACACCAAATACGTCACAGCACTTATTTAACATGTTTTTCTGTGGTTTTATTGTTGTTTTATGCTACTGTTTATGCACATTTTGACCAGTTGTGATTGTACAGTAAATCACTTTGGATAAAAGCATCTGTCCACTAAATAAATGTATATGAAATGTTAGTCTAATAGTAGTAGCATACAAGAGGCTTAGATATTAGAGGCACTGGAATCACTGAAGATAAACATGTCCAGAGCATAATAGTATTCTACCAACCTTTTAAAGGAATTGAAGGATTTCATTTTTAAAGATACAGTCGGTTAACATTCATTGACAGGAATATAGCACTAAAGCAGCATCTATCCATAAAAAGACTGTGATAAAAGTAAGTCAAATACAGTTTTTATTGTCCAATAAGTACCATGTCTATTACATGTAAAGGTATGGAGATGATATTTAGAAATAAACTAAAGGATCATCTCCATCAGACTCTAGGAGTCTAGGAGATATTCAACATTGGTTTAAGAAAAGGAAGGTTTTGCTTAACTCATTTGTGAGACATCTTTGAACAAGGAAACAGTCGTAATTGATAAAGACTATACAGTATGATGCAGTATACAGTGTTATACTTTTTTGCATCAAGTTCTTCAAAAAAGATTAATTGAAGACTGAGCTTCCCATGTAATGCATGTATTTTTATTATTGCTTTACTTCTGACAGCAAATTTCAAACCTATTCAAAATAAAAAGTACCTAATCAAGTCTTCTTGATTCATTTCATGTCCATCTATTATCAAATACCACATTTTTAACTCTACACGGTCAGTTTGTGAAGACTTAATGTGGACCTTAAAATTAATTTAAAATCCATAATTTTCTTGATGAAAATATTGAATTAATACATAGAGATGTGATTAGGACTATTTTATATCTTCCAGATTAACCCTAATACCATAACTACAGAATATTCTTGTTATATATAATCATGATTTTAAAGCAGGTGTTTAAAAAGCAATAGAATTGAAAACCTACCTTGTAAAGCAGAGGTTACTAGTATCCCATAATTTGTGATGGGTCCACTGGAGTCATTAAAGAGGTCCTGACTGAAGGTGACAGTGAAGCGGTCAAAACTTTTATCAAGAAAGTCTGCCACAGGAATATCAGTTCTTGCTGGAGGAGGATCTGGAAGGAAAAAAGAAAAAAATAAGTCAGTGTTGGGATACTTCCACTCATACTGTAAGAAGGAAAACAAGCACTGTTAACCGACACTGTCAGACGTCAGCTTGCAAGAAAAGTACAATCTCTAAACATTGGCGGGAGGACATTGAAAATCCAGCCAATGTGTGTGTGGCTGCTAATCTTTAGCCACCAGGCTGTGTCGATGTAGCCCCACTTGGATGATGCGACGGCAGCCATAGTGCGCCAGAACGCTCCCCACACACCAGCTCTCAGTGGGGAGGAGAGCAGAGTGATGAAGCCAATTTACAGATTGGGATTATTAGGAGGCCGTGATTGGTAAGGACCAATGGGAAATTTGGCCAGGACACCGGGGTGACACCCCTCCTCTTTTCGAGAAACGTTCTGGGATTTTTAATGACCACAGAGAGTCAGGACCTCGGTTTTACGTCTCATCCGAAGGACGGCGCTTATTTACAGTATAGTGTCCCCGTCACTATACTGGGGCATTAGGACCCACACGGACCGCAGGGTGAGCACCCCCTGCTGGCCCCACTAAAACCTCAAATAAAGTAAGTTAAAAAAAAACTGAATGTAAAAGAAAAGTCTCTGTTTCAATGGATTTCAGAAACAAACGGATGGGCAAACCAAATCATTAAACCTCAGTTTTAACCAAAAGCTAAAAAAATGAAAGAGGAGGGGGGTGCACCCCCAAGTGCATAGTTTGCCTAGGGTGCACCCCCCTTAATTTAACTTGCCAACTGGCAGCTATTCTTGCTCTTGGCTGCCATCACCTGGCCTGATTAGGTAATGCAAGAAGAGGGTTTACATTTCATTGACAGATACAGTACCTGTGATTCCCGTGCGACAGGTAGAGATGAAAGGAGGGCTATTTTCGCCACATCCTTTGGTCTGGATTTGAACAGTGTATTGAGTGCTGTAATTCAGCTGTGTTTTATTGAAGAAGGTCTTCTGAGAAGAAGTACACGTAGAAAGGTTGTTTTCAGTCCCATTGACTTGCACCAGAAATCCTGTATTCAGACCTACAGGGCAGGTCCAGTTCATTTCTAGGATTGCAGGCCCCCCATTTGGTCCTCCACACATGAAGTCTGTTATCACTGCAGCAGCTTAAGAAAGAACAAATCAGACATTTTCTTTTAAATGGATGAGAAAAAAATCTACATCTTCCATGATGAAAAGAAGAACTTTTGCATTTCCAATTCAAATTAATTGTCATTTAAAGAATCAGGCCTTTTAAAAAGACTGTGGGAAGTTGATTGTTTTGTAAAGGATGTGTCTGTTAGGCACCAATTGAAAAGGCATTTTTTTTTAACAAATTTAAAATTAACACAATAAAGTCTTCTACTTTTTTAAACAACTGTTTAAATTTGTAACAACAATACAGTATGTATAAAGAACTGTCTTTCATTTATTTTATGATTAACATTGCTATACAAAATAGATCTTTTGCATTGTTCTAATCTTTTCACACCTTTTTCAATGTTTTTCTTTCTCTATGCAAAAATAATGCTATGGTGATCTATTGAAATTGTAGCCATTATGTTTTAATCCAATATTTAATCCTGGTTGATCTGTATTTTGCAGTACAAAGAAATCCTTTGGCTTTTAGGGGTGTGAAGAGAGGAAGAAATTATATTAATGAAAATGAAAACTTGACAATGAATCAATTAGATTTGATTGGTAAAAACAACGAATTAGCTACTAAAATACTTCACATTGGACCAATACATATAGTTTACCTAGAGTAGGTGTGATGGCGTTTTTGACCATTGTGGATTAAAGATGACTTAATGACAAGCTTACTTTCTTCTCACCTGAACCAAACTCAGTGACAGTCAAAGTTGTAATAATAGTTGAAACTGCTAGTGGAGACTTTAAGTAAAGTGTTGCTGGACATTACGTACATTTAGGATTTTCGGTCAAGTAGTAACAACAAGGGAAGAAGCCAATGAGTAGTGAGCCGTGGAGTATTTATATATAAGGGAGCAACAGTGCAACATTGGAATTTGACCTCCCTCCAGACTTCTGTCACAACACCATATGTAACTTTTGCCTGTGTCTGCGTTTAACGTTCTTTGAACAGCATTGTAAGTATTAATGCAAAAAGAAAGAAATGGCTGGCAAAGGAGATGTTTTTACCAAAGAACCTTCCTATTAACAAATGTTGACAATATGCCACGGACTATGATCCATGTGTGATATGCCATGTTTTATCCATCCATCTGTTTTAGAGCGAATTTATCCAGCACAGGGTCATGGCGGAGCTGGAGCCTATCCCAGCAAGCAATGGGAGCAAGGCAGGATACAACCTGGACAGGATGCCAAGTGTCACATTCATTTCATGATATATAAAATACAACAAGAAGGCATCTGATGCATCAACTGTAAACACCACATTCTGACTTTCTAATTCTTCATTCTTTAATTCTGGCCAGCAGTGTGGCACATTGGCTAGCATTGCTGCTTCACAGCATTCCAGACCTGGGCTGCTATCTGCGGATAGCACAGTCCTCCCACAGTCCAAAAACCATACTGGTACTGTAGGTTAATTGGCTTCTTGGAAAATTGGCCCCGTTGTGAGTGTGTGCTTGTTTGTGTCTGTGTGTGCACTGGGATGGACTGGTGTCCTTTCCAGGGTGTATCCTGCCTTGCACCGGCTGATTGCCATGCCAAGATAAGTTGTGGCTCCAATGCAACCCTGAATGTTGGCTGGATGATTAAACTTCTTTTCCTTCAAAAATGTCAGCACCGAAGGCAGTGGAGGACTGACGTGAAATACTTACTTGTACAGGAAGTAACTGATGCAGGTGATGCAGATGTATTATCAGATGTCAGTGTTGTTACGTTGAATGTATAACTTGCTCCTTGAGTTAAGCCCATAACTGTACGACTCTCTGTTGTTTGTGTCTCATTTGATACCAGGCTTCCATTGTTGCTTTGTACAGTTACTCTGTATTGATATCCTTCCTTATAATCTTTGGGTTTGTTCCATGTCAGTATAACTGAGCCATTTGTTAAAGAGGCTGTTGTAAGAGACTCAACACTCAAGGGTCCTGTCAGAAAGAAAATAATTTTAATGAATTTTTAAGAGACTGGTACTGGTACAAAACTAAAGGTACAGTACTCATCAAGATTCTGAAAAGGATAACACTGAGCAGCATGGGGTACAGATACAGAATTACTTTTAAGATGCCCTTTTTCTAAATGAACACTAAACAAAACATGATTGGAACAAACTGTCACAGCTGTCTACAGATTGGTGAAAATAAAAACCTGTTCTTGAAACATTCTTTCAGGTACAAATTTGCATTTGCAATGGATGCTTTTATAGGCAGAGGCTTTGTGAATCTGGTTGCATAAAAGTTACAGGAAGTTATTTCTATACTTACTAGTTGTAACCAAATTATATATAACTGGATCACTCCAAAAGTCCAACTGTCCGACTGTCACCACAGATATGTTGTAGGAGGTCCCCGATTTCAGCCCACTTAAGATAGTGTTGTTTTGATTTTCATATTTGGAGCTATTTTGATCTGGCTGCAATTTCACGTAGAAGCTGAAAGGAACGCTGTCCATGTCAGGAGGTGTGCCCCATGATAATGTAATGGAATCGTTTGACTTGCTCTCAATTCTGATTTTTCCAGGCGTATTTGGACCTAAAGGATAAAAATAAAATTCTTCTAAGCAAAATGTTATCAACTTATGTCCCTGAAAAGAACTTATATCTGTACCCATTTATACATCAAGCCTGTTCCAGTTTGTGTGGAATGTTTTGCCAAAACTGCTGCAAGAATGTAATTTCCATTCTTACATACTGTAACCACCTGTATATGTGTGATACTTTGAACCTTATAGCAGACCGTGAATGGAAAATAAAGGCAGTGGAGATTTCCATAAGAACCTGGAAGTCCTAGACTTTGGTCACATCCCTACTGAAGATGTCCATGGCATCATCATACAATGCACTGGGGCATATGAAGATCTGAAGACTTGTGATCATGACAATGTGAAGAACAACCTTAAATGCCAAGGCCATAAAACCTTCCAGGCTCATTCCCCAGACATTACATGTGATGGTAAGTAGAGGCAGGAAGAAGAAGCTGACTAACAGCATAAACAAACAAACTAACAACATAAAGGCTATGGGCCTTGTAGAGACTCATGCACTTACTACCAGATTGTGTGCAACAGAGACAGATCCTTGCTCAAGGGTACCACAGTAGTGTCCTACTACTTGGGGTTTGATCCACAATTTTGTCATGAGCCCCGCCCACTCCTCCACACTACGGCTTGCTTGACAGACGATATCGTATGGTTGTAGTGGTGATAGTGTACCCTGCTTTACAGGAGTTTGATCTTAAGATCACAGGAGAACATTTTTGCTTGATGCTTACGTGTAGCATTTTGAACCACATCGGATTCTTCTCTAAAGGGACCACTGATGGTTGTCACTGTGACATTGTATATTGTTCCAGCTTTCAGGCCTTCAAATGACACAGATGTGTTGCCATTTTTTTGAGAAACTTGTCCAGAACTGTTTCTGATGCTGACTATATAGTTCTCCACATTCCCTTGTGGAGGACTCCAGGTGACAACAATGGTCTGATTTGTACCATTGTTTGAGACGCTGATGTTCGCAGAGTTTATTTTGTTTGGTACTGTTGAAAAAAAAATGGGGAAACAGTTGTGCAATTTTTTAATCCAGCATTTGTAGCAAAGTCAATGACTATTCACGATGAAAATGAGTAAACATCCACAAAAGGCAAGTAGCTGCACTGATTTGAAAACGAGGTTTTTTATTTAATTTGCACTGTGGAAGACCCTACAAGACCAAGGTCCTGGGTTATTATTATTAAGGACAAGGACAAGGTTCCAGGCTCCCTACCGATCTTTGCAATATGTCCAAAAAAATGCAGCTAGACTTATATCACACACCAGGCACTGGCTGCATATTACTCCTGTTCTTCTATCTCAACTTTGGTTGTTTATAAAGTCACATATCCAATATAAGATCTTGTTTCTGACTTTCAAGGCTCTAAACAATCTGGCTCCATCACACTTCTCTAAACTCCTCCAGGTTTCCACTCCCTCGCTGTACCTAGGACTGCATCTTGGGTTGTGGTGACTGACAGGGGCAGGAATTCGCTTTGATATGATATTTTAAAGACAAATACCACAGTGCAATTTTGACCAAATTTGGAGGCAGAAATTGAAACTGAAAAGGTACAATTGAAAGCAATGCCTTACAAACTTAGAAAAAACATTAGAGGACTGAGACAGAGTCTAAAGGAAACTGATTCGGGTAAACTGTACGTTACAGTACAATTAAACTCATATTTTTGGTTAAGAATTCAAAATAGAATAAAAAACATTAGAATAAGCAGGCATACTTGTGTAATTGGAAGCTGTTCTTGGTTCTGCTCTGCTGTCACCCCCTGCCAGGGTAAAGACTCTGAAAGAGTAGTTTGTTCCTGGAATCAGGCCTGTGATCACAGCTGTCTCATTGACGACTGTTGTATTTGGTCCTCCAATGGTCTCAACCAAATAAGTATATCCATCCTTATATTCATTCGGTTTGGTCCACGTCAGTACAACTGCAGTGGTATTGATGGTAAACACACTTAAATTGCCTACAGGCAATGGTCCTACAAAGAGAAAACATAACATAACATCCAAATGGGTATTTATTCATAAATAAATCAACATTACACTTATATAGTGTTTTTTCTGGACACTCCACTCGAAAGCTCTTTCAGGTCATGGGGATCCCCTCCACCACCATCACTGAGTGGCCCCCAGCTGGATGATGGACTGACAGTGTGCCTGTATGCTTAAGACGGCAATACAAGGGTGTAGGTCATTTTTATAAAAAATACATTTCAATGGCATAAATATACAAGCATATATACATAAATATATTGCACTTACAGTACACTGTAACTTCAAACTAATCAGAGGCCTTCTCAAAGTGCGATAAAAATATACAAATATTTGGTGGCACTGATCACTCTAACTTAGCAAAAAAAGTTCATGGATGTGACATCATGAAGATTTCGCGATTTTCTAGAACAATTCATGCCCCATTTACCATTGCAAGCATACTGTATATTGGACTTACTTGTGAACGCTGAAACAGTGGCGGCAGAGGATTCCGTGCCATCTTTGGCCAGGGTTTTCACATTAAAAGTGTAATTGGTGCCTGAAGTCCACAACTGGACTGTAATGTTCTCATACCTCACTGTGTAATTATCGACTGAAATGGTATTGGAACTGTTCAGTACTGTTACATCATATCTATACTCCTCCTTGTAGCCATCAGGTCTCTGCCAGTTAAGTAAAACCGAGTTGGTGGTAATGTCAGTAACGGTAAGGGCCTGCACAGGGTTGGGTCCTGGAAGAAAGAAAAGAATATTGTTCTCAATCAGCTGTGTTTTCTGGGAACGCGTTGCTGCCACCAAGAGGAAAAAATGTCCCCTTATCTTGTAACGACAAGATTCTTTTCTCGAAGTACATCGTAACGCAACGGGGGCTCAGGCGGGCGCCCTTACCGCACTAGGTCGGCCCCCCACCGTCGGGGGCTCGCACCCGGGATTCCCGCGTCACTCAGCAGGGACTGGTGAGCCAAAGAGAGATCTCTCTACAGCCCAGTAGCTGTAGTCCTGCTATCACAGGGAAGGGCGGCGAGGTCACCGCTCTGGTAAGCCGGCTCTAACACACCCTGATGGCCGTATGCGTTACAGTATATATACGAGATAGCAATGATTACCTCAGTGTTGGTACAGTACAACCTGTTATGTTGTGCACTGAACGCATCGAGAAGCTACCGTGAGCTTGGCTGGCACTTTCGGTTTAATGATGTGTCAGTGTCCAGCGCTGCAGGATTTGTACAGATTTACTTTCGAGTGGAGTTTAGTCATAATGAAATCTTACATTTTTTAGCAAAGATGAACGGAATAATTTTAAGCATGAGGACCTGTTGTGTGGGATGTAGAGATCAAAGCAATTATGGTTCCGTTATTAACAGTTATACATGCAATCGGTTCCATTGCTTAAAACTGTGAGTCCGCACGTAGGTAAATACAGATATTATATGACAATTGTCATAAAGTACGTAATTCCGAGATAATTTTCTCATTATTAAGAGATAAGGGCGAGGGTTTTCTTTCCTTGGTGAGGAAAAGCGCTTGTAGTTTTTGTCCTTCTTTTCATACCGAAGCAAATTCTGTACTGTATAGAAAGATCATTATCTCCAATGCGCCGCTCATGCAGTCCAAAAATATTTAGGAAATTCTATGTAGTTCTTATGAATAGAAATTAGAAAATAAAAAGTTAAGACTTATTTCAATACAAAGATGTGCTGTGTTCATCTGATGTTAAGTTCTATTATTTTCATTAAGGACTGAAAAGGACTGAAACAAATTCCTAGATGTTTTATACTTTATACACTGTAGTCACTGATTCTTATTCTATCTATAAAAAACAATTAAGAAATAATCAGAAAAATTCACTGAAAGTCTGATTAATGAAGATAAAGTTTGATCTTTTGAAAATAGTGAACCATGTGAAAATAGTGAAGATACACTACCTTGATTTACTGTGGAGACTAAATTATCAGCCCAAAGGCCGATAATGGGTGGAGAGGGTATTGTTAGAACCGTGGCCTTGAAATACTCACTGGTATAAACTTCTGTAGTGACTGGAACACTCTGGAGTGCCATCTGTCCCACAGTAACCACTGAAATTATGTACTGAGTTCCAGACTGCAGACTGGTTAACGTGGTGTTGTTCTGAGTGACATTGTTAGATGCCCTGTTATTGGAGGCCGACAGGAACGTGACAAAGAAGGAATGTGGGGTATTGTTCATATTAGGAGGCTCGCCCCAAACGATAGACATGGAGTCATTTGCTTTGCTTTTTATTTCTATGTCTCCAGGTGCAGTGGGATCTGGAATGAAAATCAAGAGACAGTGACTGCAGATTTAGGTTATAATTGTTCAGATTTAGGCATTCTGTGTTGCTAAGTTTTTACAACTCCCCCCTACGTTTATGCCTGAGTGTCTGGGGTTTTGATTTAAAAAAAAACATTTTCGCTGCATTCCATTGACATTAGTCAGCAAAGCAATTGCCAAATGCTTGCACTTGATTGATGATTACTCACGTATGGCACAACGTACACAGGCATTATTTAAGAGCCAGCAGAGACCGTATTTTTAATTTCATAACAGCTGTCCTAGTGTTGCTCTTCATTCTCTGAGTGTAGTGCTTCCTCTGGTCAGTTGCTGTCGATACTGTCCCAGCACTAATACACTGCGACCTAGTCATTTAGATAGCATCATTAAAAATTACAGTCCCTCAATACTGAGTCACCCCAGAAAACAAAATAAACATGCACAGAAGTCTTTTGCAACTTCAGACCCAAAGATACAGTTTTTGTTTGATTTGACAATATACTGTATGTAATACTTGGGGTAAATAAGCCCCATCCCCATTTAATTCAGTTAAATTTTTGTTAAAATGTGAATTGTATACTGCAGTGTGGGAATACTGCATGTTTCAAATGTTACTACATAATGTCACATTTAATTTGACATACAGGTAAATGTACTTTTAATTCTTTTTAAATTAGCTGGTTTCATTTCTGCATTTAATTGTACTAATTGTTATTGCTGTAATCACTGAGGAACATGCATCGTCTTAAGTAATTACGTGCATATATTTTAACAGCTGTGATCTGCTGAAAATCTGCCTTTAGCAATGGAAACTAATATGGCTTTTGGAACTTACAAGTAGCATTTTGAACTACATCAGAATCCACATGGAAAGGTCCGCTGATCGTTGTGACTGTAACATTGTAAATTCTTCCAGGTGCCAGGTTGGTAAATGTTACAGATCTGCTGTTGGAGGTGATAGTTGAGCCACCTTGGATCGTAATGTTATATGATTTCACATATCCAGCTGGAGGATTCCAAGTTACTGTTATGCTGCTAGTTGAACCATTGCTTGAAACCTGAATATCACTCGTTTTTATCTTTTCAGGCACTGAAAATTCAGAATAAGAGCAGATACAGTATAAAACAAAAATTGTACTTTTTAGACATATGATTTAAATGTCAGTTTTGGAAAGTTCACTTGTGACAGAAAAAAAATACAACATAAGTTTAATAGTTTTCATTTGACAATTAAGAGCACTGAAAAAATGACTGAATATTATGCCCAAAACTCAAACAAGTTAAAATCACACATCACATCATCTTCCTAATAACAAGAAAATCCAGAAAGCTGACCAATAACTCTTTAAGGAAACATGAACAAAAGCTCTGGATGCCACATTTGTGTAATTTGAAACTGTCTCTGCACCTCCTGTAGTCTTATTTTGTATTTCACTGAAAACCTGAAAAGTGTATTTGGTTCCTGGTGAGACCTGGGCAATGATGGTAGTCTCACTGGACTGTCTTATCCCTTGAACTGTTAAATTTGGAAAAGTCTGAATCACATAGGAATATCCGTTCTTGTAGTCAGACGACTTGTTCCGTGTGAGCTTTCTAGCTGTCGAGTTCAGGGTTTGAGCAGTCAAGCCTACAACTTTTGTGGGTTCTTAAAAAGTAAAAGAAGGATGTCGGCATGTTTCACTACGACTGTACATTATATCACAACATTAGAACATAAGAAAGTCTTCCTCTTTGGTTGCTGGTAATGAATTAAACCAAGGATCTAATCCAGCAAATGTTTTTAAGGAATCCGTGGTATTGGCTTTGGCTAGCTGTGTGGAACATCTAGTTCCACACAAAAATACCAAAAAACTACAAAAACATTATCTGGATCAATATAAAAAGGAAAAACCGAAATAGAAAAACGTCAGAGCGTTTTTACAGTAAAGTATAAAAAGGCCACAGGCACGACTGAAGACTTCCAAGCAAGTGCCAAGACATCAAAGCAAGTGGAGCAATATGGAAGTGCAATTAAAAGTGAGAACAGAAGGTATTGCTTTAGAAAAGGCTACCCTGCCGTGCTGCTGAAAATGATATCCTGGCTTCTCTCACGAAATGGCTGTATGAGATCCTCATACTGTATCAGTACATTACTATCCACCAAACAATCTAGATTTGGCCAAATGTCCTCCTCTCATTCATAATCATTTATACTTTTCTAATTGTATCATTTATAATCACAAGTCCTTATGCTTTATTCTCATGAATACTACAGCAAAGCTTGGAATGACGCCTGTAAAATATGAAGCTGATCAGTTACACAATGTTGTTTTAGTTGGTTTTCAAAAGTGTTCAGACACAAAAGGAACAGCAGTACATCCTTAGGTGCAGACACCGTCAATACAGTGATGTTGAAGAAACTCAGACTCATCAATCACGTAACACCTCTATAGTAGAAAGACGGGTCACCCAAATGAGACTCCTGCTTATGCACAGACACTATGCAGACCCACTCCTTAATTACAGTATAAATCTTCCCAGGGATACTACAACAAGTGGTGAGAGGGGTGTGTTCTGATGGAACACCCACCAGAGAAAGATTAAGAAAGGTTAAGAAACAAGTCTTACTTGTATACTGAGAGAGGCTGACAGGGGCTCCTGCTGTTGAGTTATCTGCAGCCACTGCAATGACTGTGAAAGTGTATCCAGTCCCCGCAGTCAGATTACCAATATTAAAGGACTTCTCTGTCATATTTTCACGACTTTGAGTCAGAGAAAAGGTTGAATTTGTCCCAGTCTTCAGCACGTCAACTCTAAAGTAGGAGCTTTTTCCCACAGGCTCAGTCCAGTTCAGAGACACAGAAGATGTGGTGACTTGAGTGACAGTGAGGTTCCTGATGACATCAGGCCCTGTGAGTGCAGGTAAGGGGTTTGGGAAGAACAAGCACAAACATTAGCTGGGTGTTGTGATCCTTTTTGGAGAAGTACACTCTACAAACAATAGCAAACACTTATCATCTCTTTTAGACCTGTCTGAAAAGACTGAACTGAATCAAATAAAGGAAAATTATTAAATTATAAGAAAATTCCACCCATCCATTTTCAAACCTGCTTTAACCAAGTTGCTGGAGACCCAGAGTCAAACCCAGCAGAATCTGGCACAAGGCGGGATACACCCTGGATGGGACACCAGTCCATCTCAACTCACACAAGGACAAGGTTTCCCAGAAACCTTTTAAAATTCCCATACTGTATGCCTTTGGAATGTGCGAGCAAACTGGAGCACTTAGAGGAAACCAATGTAAAACTCCCTTCTGGAGTTGAACCCAGGGCACAAGCTCAATGAGACAGTAATGCTAACCACTGTGTAATTCTTTATTATACAATGCGCATATTAAAAAACACAACATTCAGGCAACTGCAGAGAAAAAATGTGATCTAGTGTCTCAGTCAAGAGAACGCAATGTCTTACTTGTATACTGAGAGAGGCTGACAGGGGCTCCTGCTGTTGAGTTATCTGCAGCCATTGCAATGACTGTGAAAGTGTATCCAGTCCCCACAGTCAGATTACCAATATTAAAGGACTTCTCCGTCATATTTTCACGACTTTGAGTCAGAGAAAAGGTTGAATTTGTCCCAGTCTCCAGCACGTCAACTCTAAAGTAGGAGCTTTTTCCCACAGGCTCAGTCCAGTTCAGAGACACAGAAGATGTGGTGACTTGAGTGACAGTCAGGTTCCTGATGACATC